ATTAATTTGGGTGCCCCTGTGTTGGGTGCATACATATTTGAAATTGTTATACACTCCTGCTGGATTGATCCCTTTACTGTTATATAGTGACCTACTTTTAATTTTTTTACTATTTTTGATTTAAAGTTAATTTTATCTGACATACAAATGGAGCTACTCCTGCTTGCTTTTCGTTTCTATTTGCATAGAATATCTTGTTCTATCACTTTACTTTCAGTCTGCATGTGTCTTTACTGGTAAGGTGAGTTTCTTGTAAGCCATATATACTTGAATAATTTTTATAATTCCTTCATCTATTCTATCTTTTAAGTAGAAAATTTAATCCATTTATAGTCAAGGTTGTTATGTGAGACTCTGTTCCTTTCATATTGTCCCTGTTTTCTGGTTATTTTATGCATTATTTGCTTTCTTTTTTTTTATGGTTTATTATTGTGGTTTGGTGGACTTCTGTAGTAGAATCATCTGAGCACCTTTTCTTCTCTCTGTGAGTGCTTTAACAGTGAGTTTCACACTTTCATGTGTTTTGTGATGGTAAATGTCATCTTTTCATTTCCAGGTTTAGGACTCCTTGAGCATTTCTTGTTGGATTAGTATAGTGAAAATAAATTCCCTCAGCATTTGCTTCTCTGGAAAAGGAGATTTTTTTTTTTTCCATTTAGGAAGGATAATTTTGCTGGATATAGTATTTGTAGCTATTAGCTTTTATTTTCTTTCTTTCAGTGCTGGATATATCATCCCATTCTCTTCTGGTCTATGAAGCCTCTGCTGAAAAATCCACTATTACCTGGTATAGTTTCCTTTACAAATGACTAGATGCTTTTCATTTGCTGTTTTTAGAATTAATTCTTTATCTTTGACTTTAGAAAATCTAATTGTAATGTGCCATGGAGAAGTCCTTTTTACATTTTATCTGCCTGGGGAATCTCTGAACTTCCTGTATCCAAATGCCTAAATCTCCTGTTTGACTTGGAAAGTTTTTATCTATTAATTTGCTAAATAGATTTTCTAATACTTCATTTTCTCTTTGCTCTCATGGATACCAATAATTCAAGTGTTATTTTGCTTACGTTACCCTAAATGTTATAAAGGTTTTGCTCATTCTTTTGTCTTCTTTCTTCTTTATTTTTTTCTAGATGGATGATTTCAAAACATCCTGTCTTCAACTTCTGAGGTTCTTTCTTCTGCTTAATCTAGTCTATTATTAAGCTTTCGTGTGTGTGTGTGTGTGTGTGTGTGTGTGTGTGTGTGTGTGTGTGTGTTTAAATGAATTCTTCAGTTCCAGAATTTCTATTTAATTCTTTTTAAAAATATCTATCTCTTTGCTAAATTTTTCATTCATATTCTAAATTGCTTTCCTGATTTACCTGTATTTTTTTAAGAATTATTTTGTATCTCACTGAGCTTATTTTAAGTCAATATTTTGAATTATTTATCTTGGATTTCCAAATGTTTCTTTCTGGTTAAGATCTATTGCTGGAGAATTATTGCGTCCCTTTGGAGGTGTCATATTTTCTTGCTTTTTTTTTGTTTCCTGTGTCCTTACATTGATCTTTGTGCATCTGTTGTAACAGTCACTTCTTCCTATTTTTGAATTTATGTTCACAGGGGAAGAACTTTTCCTGAAGATATGGATATGATATTGGTTGAGCAGGCCACTTTCACTTGGATTCTGGTATATGCAGTAGTGTAGAGTGTAAGCTCTGTAGGATTTTGAGGGACATAAACACCGTCAGTGGTATCTATGATTTTCTTAATGGGTTAGGCTGTGGTTACTAGTAGAGACTATGGTGAAGTTGTGCTGAGGACAGAGATGCCGGTAGGTCAGTCTCCAGTTCCCAGTGGTGGTACAGTGGACTAAGCAGGCTTGTCCTCGTGCCTCATGGGAGTTTCTACTGTCATATTGTTAGTAGTTACCATTGGGTAGATTCTTGGGTCTGCAGGTGGCTTGCTCAGATGCCAATTATAGCAGCCATGGACCAGCTGAGTAGGTGAGTTATCCGGCCTTAGGAAGGCAGTGTGGTGTGGGCAATGATAGTAGCAATGGCAGGATAATTCTCTGGGTCCTAAGTGATGTACAATGATGTTGGCAGTGACTGCAATTAACTGAGTGGGCAAGTCTCCAGGCCTATGGATGGTGCTTGCAGGTAGTTTTCAGCTGGGGTGGTAAGAGCTGGGAGTTTAGGCCTAACCTTGGGCTTCTGGGAGGAGTGTTCAGGTGCTCAACATGGTAGATTGGGTTGGGCAATCCCTAGGAGCCCAGGCTATGTGTTCTATCTAAGAGGAGAATAAAGATGGGCTTGGCAGGCTTATGCTCAGATCCCCACTCCCGCCACCCCAATGGTGAGATCAGGCACACGCCATGGTGGTCAGGGATAGGGTAATACTCAGGTCACAAGCAGAGTGCTCTAGTGAGGGGCAGTGGTAGCTGTGCTGAGGCCCTGCCACTGGGGAGAGTGGGGCTGGCCTCAGTGGCCATAGCCCAGGCCGGCAAGTGGGGAAGGCATATCCCTCTCCTGCTCTAGTGCCAGTGGTGCTTGCCCCTTAGCCCTGGTGATGATACCTTGTTCATATCTTGTGCCTCAGCCCCAGCTGCTGGAGCCCTTGCCTAACTTACAACTGAGTTTCAGTGGCAACTTGCACTAGCACCACAGTCTCTGTCCCAGTAATGCTTGCTTCCCATCACCAGCAGCTGTAGCTCACATCTCACATGCTTCTCAACCCCAGCTGCTTGACTTCTCCAAGCTAATGCCCCAGTTTCAGCAGCAACAGCCCACATTCCTATCATACCTCAACTCCCACATGTCTGTGCCCCAGTGCAGTCTGCCAAAGGCTAGGTTTGAAAATGGTGCCCTGCTGTGGCCACATTAGGTCTCGGAAAGGTCTTAGAAAGGGTCTGAGACTCAGCCTGAGCTCCCTCCCTGGAGCACTTCTGTTCCACGGCCTCAAAGAAACTCCCTGTGTTAGTTTCATGGGTTGGGAGGCATGGGCGGGCTCTCTTGTGGCCAGGATTGCATGATTCTATGGTGGGAATGTGGGGTCCTGGGATGTCTCTCACTTACCCTTTCCTCACTTTGTGGAGTCACTCCAGAAAATTGTTACTCAGTCGAAATGAGACAGATAGCCAACCTCAAAATGTGAGGTACATTCTCCTTGTATTAAGCCAAGTGCCAAAATCAAGGTGACCAAATTGAGAAGAAAATGTTCCTTCCATCAAACCCCACTTATTTTTAGAAACTTTATTTTTCAGATTTAAAAAACACAAATATTGTGTCATAGATATGATCAGCAGGTAACAGAAAAAACACAGTAACAAGGACAAAAGACATTTGAGTAGTCAAATGTTTGGAGCTTTGAAGATTTCCAAACCTCTAGCTTTGCAAGTTGCTTTCCTTGATTTGATGTGACCTCAGTCCCCATGCACCTAACTGCAACCAGAGCCATATTGAATGAGGATGTACAGAAGCATTGTTACTGGGCATGCAAAAGGCTAAAACTGAGCAAGTTTGAGTAGACAGTAGCTGGAATTTGCAGCTAAAACAACTTGGCCTGAGGCTGTCATGGTCAAACATTACAGTTCTTAGAATGTAATTCCCGAAAGAACTTACTCTTTATCAAGAAGTCAAACTAGAAGTTAGGCTAACCACTCTTCTGTTCCATCTAGAGATTCCACCCAATACCATTTCTTGCTAACCATGTGCCACGTTGTCTATCTTACAAGGCAGCCTTGAACTCACGTTCTAACTGTAAGATGAACTTGTGATTTCAGGGTAAAATGCAGGCTAGAATGCTTGACATTGGCACTATCCACTTAGCTCCAAGCGATCATGGGCTATTACATAATTTGGTGTGTATTTGCACATGTTTCTAAGTGCATTCAAAACTCACTGGCACTAGCACTATTATTAAAACAATTCACTGAAGAGACAGAGTTCTAACCAAATGCATTTCTTGTTTCCTTTCAAATACACTAACCTTAGTAAAATATGTTCAAATTACTGGTTAATCTTCTTGGTGGCTTCAGGGTCAGTTTTACAATGTTTCTGTATAGTGTAGCATCTGCAATTATGTGAAAGATTCCAACTTTGAAAATAAGTAACCAATTACATCCAAGAGGAGAAAATAGAGCCAAACCTTGGCAGCAGTTCCGTTGATCACTTCCTTAATAAGACTTTTTAAACCCATTTTATTTTTATTTTATTTTATTTTTAATGGAGATACTGACAGCTTGTGTACTTTTGTTTGGCACTTAAAGTAGGAGCAAAGAGAATTTATTAAAGAATAAAGATGTTTTTCGTTTTCTTAAAAGGAGCAGGTGTTAACTTAGGCTTCCAAAATTATTTGGAAAATGGAAATGTCCTATGGAAATTCACAGAGTCCTGAAAAATTACAATATAATAATTTTATATCTAGTTGACTCAAGTTTTGAACTTCTAATGCCTTGGAGGTGCACTGTAAATGTACTGGGCCAGGAACCAGGAAATCTTCAGTTTTGTTTCAGGTCCCGCATTATCTATCTTTATGACTTGAGACAAATAGCTTTGCCCCTCTGAATCTCAGATCAATCATTTGTTGATTGTGAAGATCCCTTTCAACTGTACTGTGGTACATCTGAATTTACATTTGCATTAAGTAAGTGTGGGATTTGAAAAACACAAGTCTGATGTCATCTCTGCCCATCTTCTACAATGCAAAACAAGGCAGAGGCAATAAATCTGCAATTTTATTAATCTCCTGGTTAATGACTAATCATATAAAATTATTGGGCCAATGAAAAAAATTAGTAAAGTCTCTAATCTGATATTAGAAACTTTGCCACCATTTAATATTAATTAATTAATTTTTAATTTTATGAGTACATAGTAATTATCAATACTTATGGGTTATATGGGATAATTTGATACAAGCATGTGTAATAATCACAATAATGTAATTCACACGTTAGGGTGAAGGGACTATCCATCACCTAAAGCACTTATCCTCTGTGTCACAAACAATGTCATAAAAATATAGAACACTTCACACCTTTGCACGTCATCCCTGCACAGGGAACATGCTAATCTTCTCTGTATGTTTCAGTTTTAACCTAAGTGCTGCTGAAGTGAAGACCACCATTTTAATTGTTCATTTCCACTGAAAATATTTTCAAGGCAACTGCATAGGCAGCAGTACGGAGGAGATCAGGAATAGACATTATTATTAACCATTAGAAAAGGATGGCTAAGAACCTTGATTGATGAATCTATTTCTATGTCTTATAACAGCTAAATCTGCAGCTCATGCCAATGGCTTGATACCTGCTTCAAGGTAATTAAATAATTTCCAAATAATGTAATGATCGTTTCAACTTCCAACTACTTTTAAAAAGAAGAAATATACTTCTGTGTCAACTAGCATTAAGTTTATTTTGGTTTAAAGATATATTTTTCTCAAACCGAGCAAATTTTTAAAAATCTGTAATTGTCTTTTCTAGTTTATGAAATAACTTCTCCCAAGTGTAACATCGGCTGTGAATCTATCTAAAATAGTGAGATGACAGTCTCAAATAAATTTCTTGGGTCAATTTACCACTGCAAGCCACTATATACTGTTACATCCAGGCAGAACAGGCTAACCACAGTTAAGTGTTTCCGATTTATTCTTGTTTTTCCTGCCCATTTCATTTACCTTTTGATGCCTTTTATCTCCCAGCAACATGCAAACCTATAAGGCAGAGAATGTGATAGATATTTCTTGAGTAGCTTCTCAGGTTCACCTTTGAAGAAGAGCTTAAAAACAGCTATGCCTTATTGGTATGCAACTATGTCAACCTGAGTGGTTTTAATTTTTTTCTTTTACTACTGAATACCAGCGAAAGTGTCTGGTGCTATTAGCAACAAATTATGCTGCCCATAACTTATAATTAGAAGAATATTAGCATTTTCACTCCTTGCTTCTAACAAAAATGTTTTATTCTTAAGTTTTTAGTCTAACAATATTGAAAATTTACTATGGTATAATTGGAATACAGTGACATGTTCGCTTTTTAAAAACTCCTCATTTTTAAAATATTCCCTAGATAAATTTTCTGCATAGTTTCCAGTAATTCATGCCTATGACCCCATGTAAAGTTTCCTTGGCAGGGAAATTCAGAGTTTAAAATGACTTTTCACTATAGAAATTTATATATTTAAATCTTGTTGTCCTGTTGAAAGATAATTAGGAATCTATTTAGTAGGGTCCTTTCTTGGTACAATATGCATGGCTATGACAAAACAGTGATGCAAAGCACTGTTTTAATATCACATGTTGACTTTTATATTGAAATAAAAAATGCATTTTTACTGATGTTTATTTGTATGTGATTCTCAACATTAGATCAGTTTTAAATATGACAGTAATCATTTGTGATTTTTCCTACAGGGAACTTAACAGCTTGAATTAACAAGCTTTAATGTAAGCATCACAATAATGAAAAAAATATTGTTCCATCCAGACTCACAGAGCAAATATGTGTATATATATTATATATATAATATATATTTGTGAAATATATATATGAAATATGTACATATATATTTGTGAAATATGTATTTCTGAACAAATATCTGAGCAATTTAGAGCTATAATAATTATTCTTATATTAGTTAATAATCTGTAGCTCACATTCAGTCCTAACTCTCTGCAATGAACTGCTTGCTCAGCAGATGGCTTTTGAATAACTTGGATTCCTGAGTCCATGTCTGTCTCCCCAGCTCCTTCCTGATCATGGGCCTTTTGAATAGCTTCTTACCTAGGGAGAAAAGATATAAAATCCACTTTGGATATTTGTCCAACAATAGCTAAGAGCAGAAGAATCAGCGTTGTATAGACTATACACAAAAGCCAACCCAAAATAACGTTCTCCTTAATTTCCAGATGTCTTTTCATTTTTCGACTTAAGTGATATCCTCCACAGTCCCAGCAGATTTTCAGGAGGCTAAACAGGAGTCACGTCCCCATTCAACTATCACCCTTAATAGTATTTCTGCAGGTCAGAAAACTATAGTTTACTTGTCTTCTCCTTTCATCCTGAGTCTCTTCCACACTTTCGCAAACAAAACATGCCTGAAGAGATGCTACATAGAATTTCCTCGGGAGATAGCAGTGGTTTGGCCAAGCATTTGGAAGCTATGCTTAGTGACCCTGCTCATCAGGGCACTTAAGGAGAAAGCATCCTACTATGTGACAAAGAAAAAGACTTGGAGCTAAAGGGCCTGTGATGGTGGTCTTTGAAGTCAAGCTATAACTACCCACTTTAGCTAAAATTTCAGACACTAGAAAATAGAACTGCTTTTTAAAACTAAGAATTGAACCACAGTATCTGTAAAATATGACCATTTAAGCGATAGTATAAGGAGTCTGGTGATGCACTAAATGTGAGTATTAAAAAAAAAAAATCTCCTGAAACTCTTTTTTGACTTAGTGCCCAGGCGCAATGTGGACAGAAGGGAGAGATCCCATAGCCTCTCAGCCATGCCATATTGGAATGGGTTTTTGCTAGTTTGCCCAGTCTTCCTTCAGCTTCTCATGTTTTGTCCAGATCCAAAGATTCTGTTGACTTCAAAGGGAGTTTCGTATAAAGCAAGATGAAAACGGCAGGGGTGGGGGGACTGTGAATTTCAAATTGAACCCTGCAGAACAAAATATTTTTAGCAAGACACAAGATAATGGATTTTTTTTTTATTTCAGAAGAATGATATTTTTCTTCTTTGTTTATTCTTACCAACATAAAGCACAATCTCTGTTCCTACAGTGAAGAGTCTTGAATATGTCTTTTTTCTAAATAAGCTTAGTGAAAGGTTGTGGTTTCCCTAGCAACAGATGACTTCTTTCTATATTTTGCTCTTTGGGGAAAAAACATATTTTGGCTTTATAAAGAGCCTTTCATTTTGGGTATCAAAGGATTTTATGGCCAAATTGTCACCCTGCCTCAGCAAAGCAGATGAATAACACCCTCCCCACTTTATAGATGGGGGAGGAAAATGGCAGCTGGAACTGACAGCTGCAGTGGGAATCATCTGCTGCCTTATGAGATCTTTGCCAAGGGAGGATGGCAGAAACACCCTAAGGTAACTCACAATAATTTATACCTCTTATGATTCCCTCCCCTTGAGTGTAGGTAGGACCTGTGACTTGCTTCTAACAAATAGAATATAGCAAGGTGGTAAAACGTCATGCCTTTGCTTAGGTTACATTACATAAAACTCCATCATAGCACACTGGAGAAGGGGATTCCTGCTGTCTTTCAAAAAGCCAATAGCCATGCTGTGAACACCTATGTAAAGGGCCATGCAGAGGCCTTTTGGAGATGAGAGCAACTTTCAGCCAACAGCCAATAAAAAGCTGGGGCTCTCAGCCCTATAGCTGCAAGGAAATAGTTTTTCCTACAGCTTGGAAGAGAACATCAAGCTCCAGAAAGGAACAAAGGCAAGCTGACAGCCTGATTACAGATTTTAAGGCTGAGCAATGGTGCCAGATAAGCCATAGGAAGTCTCCTGACCAATGGAAACTATGAGATAATAAATATTTAAGCCACTAAGATTGTTACGCAGTGGTAGATAACTAGTAGGGGGGCTATACAAATGGATAATTGTTAAGCTGACTAGAGAGAAGTTAGAAGACAATGAAAAGGAGGGTAATAGGATAAAGACTTGGAAGACAGATCCACGTAGGATTATATTCAGATTTGGCACTTAATATCTTACCCTCTTTAAACCACAATTCCTTCATTTGCAGAATGGAGATAATACCCACCTCTGCAAGCTATGATAAAGATGAAAAATTATGGCTCTAAAAGTATCTGGCATTGTACCTGTCACATAGTATGTGTACAGTAAATGATAGCTAGCAGTAGATATAGTTGTAACATGAAAATGAGAGCTCTGTTTCTAGAGCTCTCGTAATTGCAATATGAACAGAGGGCATTTTTAAAGCTAATTCACTTGAGCAGTTCAAGAAAGCATCTCACCTTTCACCCCATTAGGAGTTCACAGTACCTGGAGCAAAGGTGGTAGAATTGACAGGCTTAATCTATTTGGAATCTTGGCAGTAGAAAGCCTCCTGCTTGTATGGTGGCTTCTCTTGTGTTCTGTTTATTTTATTCTATTTTAAGGGATACATTGAGGACATTATCTAGGATCACAATATTGTGAGGCATCTGGATGCTGGAGAATGAGCCATTGCTGGCCACTTATCCTGAGATGTACCCAAGTGTATTATCCATCTGTAGAAGTTTCTGTGAGGAGACAAGGGAGAGGAAGGAATTGAGGAAGAGTGGGGATGAGTGCAGAATCATAGAAGATGCAGAATGAGAACAAGGAAGGTGTCACTTTTATGGCTAGAGTGTGTCTTGCATGGACAAATAGCTGCCTAAAACATATGTGAGCGTAGACAGATATGACTCTGGGTTATAAAAAACTGAAGAGGGAAGGCTCAAGTAAGAGGGTTACCTAAATGTGAATAGTTCTATGGTCAATCAGAAGCCCGCTGCCAAGTTTTTGGGTTTTCTCTGCCTCTAATGTAGGTTTCAAGAAAGGATGCCTGGTAAGATAAGCTCACTGTTCTGACTGGAACCTGGAAATGGTTTGACCTCATTTATTATATAGAAAATACGAGATTCTCCCACACCTCCCTTCCTGAACTAGAGTTTTCTCCTAGAGTGACCAAGTGTAAGATGGCTTCAGTAGACAAAGAATTGTCACCTAGCAACAATTTATCAAATCACTTCTTTGGAAAGATTCATTCGTAGTTACAAGATTTGCATAGTTAAATTTGTAAACTCTGTGATTTATATATGTTTTGTCATCCATGAATTCACAGAGGCATGCATCTTTAAATAAATGGCAAAAAAATTGGCATTTACAATAAATACGCTTTTCTGCTAACAATGCTTGATTAAGAAATGTAATGTAATTAAGCACTCAAGAGATTAGGTGCCCTGCCAGAAGTCATTTAAAATATAAAAGCAATGTGAACCTCTAAAAAAAAAAAGAGAGAGAGAAATTCTAATTTTTCTCTATGATCAGTGCTTAAATGCCATTTTTTCTTGATTTGAAATATCAAATGTTGCAAAAAATCACCCTCCTCCCTTT